GGGAAGTTTCCACAGAAACATAAGAAAAACATTAATAAACATCTTCTCAGACTCTGCTGAATGGGCTCTGGACTAGACTCGGGGTCACTGATGGGTCAACGGCTGCCTGGACGGCCAGGGAACTCTGGGAACTGGGGCAGGGAGGCGGGTGACTGCAGGGACACTGGCTCTAACCTCGCCTCCTCCTGGTTTTCAGTTCCTCATTTTAAAAAGGGGCTGATTCAGCCTGCCCTGCAAGATTCTTATGAAGATTAAATTAGTTAATACAAAGAGTGGAGTGCCTAGGGCAGAGGGACACACAATAGAGTGATGTCAGTCGTCGGGGGCTATCTATCATGGGTTTATCCTATTACTACATGTTAGCACCAGTGGAAGCAGGACTGTGGGGGACCCTCCACCCCCAGGAGACAGTCCACGCTGGGGTGTTGGAGAGAGGAGATGGGAGTACAGGTGACTATGTTCTGGATGTACGAAGAGACATGTCAATTCGCAGCCTGACTCCATAGCTTTATATTCAATTTCTTTAACTTTGATGAAAGATTTGTGCATTTTGCTCTGTCCTAGGGCAAACCTTGCACATGTCACATCACTTACCGCTGATTTCACGGACAGTTTCCCTTCAGAATGGCCTTCCATTCTTTGGGACAGCATTCAGTCCTCCCCACTTGCAAATTCCATGCGTGTTCGTTCTTTGCTACCTACTCTGTGCTAGCCGCTGCTTTACGCCCTAGGATAGATACACAGCCGTCGAGCCAAACATCTCTGTTGTATTTTAGGTGGAAAATTCAGAAAAGTATTAAGAAAAAGAAAGCAGACGGCCTCCAATCCCACCACCAGAGATGACCACTCTCAACCCGGGAATGTAATGTTTTATAATCTTTACATTTTTTTGGTGAGCAGTGTATCATAAGCACGTTTTTGTCATGCCACTCTCAGTGTTAGGCAGATCTTGTAGAGTGACATCTGGCCACTGCCCAGTAACTTCAATAAGCCCACTGGGGCAACCTTGGGCTCACCAGGAAGCATATGAGAAATGGACTCAGGGGTCTTCTCACTTATGTTGACTCCAACACATGTGAATTCTGTACACCACAGTGACTGCTGGGCTGTGAGGTGAGTCAGGGGATCAGATTCTGCAGCTCTGGACTCCTGGAGAGCTACTTGTAGACCTTGCCTGAACAAACCAGTCGCTAAGACGCTACGAGTCTAACTCCTGACTTAGCCCCTCAATGCAGGAGACAGGCCCAGCAGCAAATCTGTCCAGGCAAGGTCACCCATCAAAAAGAATTAGATGAGTCTCTACATAGTGGCATGAATGATTTCCTTTATTTATTAAATGAAAAATCAAATTTAGTCTGATTCTGGTTTTTTGCTTAAAAAACAAAGTAGGTTATAAACATAATTTTGGAAGGAGAAAAGATTTTCATTTACTACTTTATATACTTGCAAATATATTGAAGGTTTTGCAATGAGCATATGTTACATTTAACATTTTATGCACACATATGAGAGAGGGAGGAAGATAAATTCTCCACACAATGTAGTCTTCTAGTTCATACCTTCAAACCTTCTCAGATTATGTCCTTAGCTGATGTTTCTTAAAAGTAGAATTTCTGGAAATGGAATTGTTTCTTAAAGATTCTTGGTACATATTGCAAAATGAATCCTCAGAATGTAAATAAATGACCCCCAGTAAATAAATACTAATTGTCTTAACTTTCAATATTGCTGGGTAACTGTTTACGATAGTTCCCAATTTCATAGATCAGGTACCATTTCATCTTAACTTTTTCTTTCATGACTAATTGAATTCTATATATTTATTTACTTTCATTTTTTACCATTTAATTGACATATAATAATTGTAAGCATTTGTGGTACACAGTGGAAGATTTCCATGCATGTACAACGTGTGGTGATAAATCAGGACAGACAAATCAGTCCCCTCAAACATTTATCAACTGTCTATGAAATATTTATCCTGTATGTTAGGAACATTCAAAATTCTCTCTTCTGTCAATTCTGAAATATACAACAAACTATTGTTAGCTATAGTCACCCTTCTGTGCTATATAATACTAGAACGGATTCCTCCTATCCTACTGTACTTTGCAGCTGTTAACCTATGTCTCTCTATCCAACTCTGCTCCTTAGACCTAAACTTATAGAATTTTAGCTGCTTTAGCTTTCACATACGAATGGGATTATGCAGCATTGCTCCGTCTGTGCCTGACTTCTAATGTTCCCCAGGCTCATCCATGTAGCTGCATGGCAGGATTTCAGTCTTTTCTGTGGCTGGATGGTACTCCATTGTGTATATGCACCCTATTTTCTTTACCCATTCATCTGCCAGTGGACACCTGGGCTGCTTCCATATCTGGCCCATTTTGAACAGCAGTGCAATGATCTTGGGATTGCAGATGTCTCTGCAATACACTCTGAATTTCCTTCTTTATATTTTGGTGCTGTGGTTGGGACCCAGGGCTTTGTGTGTGCTGGGCAAGTGCTCCACCACGGAGCTACATCCCCAGCCCTGAATTCCTTTCCTTTCGATGTGTCACCAGCCATGGGGTTGCTGAGTCCCATGAGAGTTCTGTATTAGTGTTTGGAGGAACCTGCATACTGTTTTCCCCTCTCAGCTGTACAAATGTGCATTTCCACCAATACCGTAAAGCCTTCTCTTTCCTCCTCATCCTCGCCAGCATTTGTCATTTGTTTTCTTTTTGATCATAGCCATTCTAACGAGGGGGGCTAACACCTCACTGTGGTTTGGATCTGAGTTTCCCTGGAAATTAGTGATGTTTAGCACTAATTTACACTTCCGTGTACCTCGTGGCTATTTGTGTGTCTTCTTTGGAGAAATGACAATTCAGATCATTTGTCCATTTTAAATTTTAAGTATTTAAAAATATTTGTGGTTTTTCCTCTGTTGGTGGCTTACTAGTCTTTGGTCTTTTTGTCTTCATGGTGGGTCTTTATTTATCTTCATTTTCTCCTCTTCTTGGTCATTTGTTGGGAAGATTGAATTTTTCTCCCATATATACTTTTTAATATAATGGTTTACATTCTCTATATATGTGCTGAGTATTGAACTCAGGGGTGCTTAACCACTGAGCCACATCCCCAGGCCTTTTAAAAAATATTCTATTTAGAGACAGGGTCTCAATAATTTAAGGCCTCGCTAAGTTGCTGAGGCTGGCTTTGAACTCGAGATCCTCCTGCATCAGCCTCCTGAGCAGCTGGGATTACAGGTGTGCGCCATGGTGCCCTGCTGATAATTACTTATTTAGATCTTAACAGTGTTTTACTAACTTCTTTGATGACGGTTGCCTTTAAATCCTTCTCCTTCCGCACAGATCCATTTTGTCTTGTTACCTGGGGATCTTGTCTTACTGCTGTCTTCAGAAGACCCCATTCATCACTGTGCTCTGCTGCCGCCCCGTTCTGCTCCTCCCCCCCCCCAATTGCTGTGGGCGTGGAGCCTTCCTGCGTGGCCTACGGTCTGTGGTCATGTTGGGTGGTGCCTTTTCTCTCTGCTAGAGTCCTAATTGCTCCCCACTGTCCAGAGTTTTCTAGCAGTTTCTGTGCCCCCTGGTAGATACCTCTCTTGCTTGGAAACATAACTGCCTGCCTGCCTGCCTTCCGCTTTGAGGGTTCACATGGAATGGGGAGACTGAGGCATGGGCTCAGCTTACCTTCCTAAGAGCAGAAGACCGATGACAGTTCCATGACATTTCTGACAGCTTGAGTCTCACCAACCTCCACCCCACCATTTACTGGAGGTTTTAGAATTATGAGGACTGTGTCACCTCATGGGATCCTGGAGAAGTGCTCTTCCCTGAGGCTTTGGAGGGGACAGTAGTCACTGCCAGGGAAGGAAGCCCAGGAGATGGCCGGGTGGATGCCACAGGGGTCAGGGACGGCAGGAGTAAAGATGCGATAGAGTGGGCTTTGGGGGTGTTGTGAAGTCAGAGCAGCAGAACAGAGTACAGATCAGGTGGTCTTAGTGGGCAACAAGCCAAATTCCTTCCTCGACCCAGAAAGGAAGGAATCCCTCTCACAAAGAAGCCATGAAATTGATCGCGTAGGTGCATGCCTGTAATCCCGTCTGCTCAGGAGGCTGAGGTGGGAAGGTCTCAAGTTCAAGGCCAGCCTGGGAAAGTTAGGGAGATCCTTTCTCAAAATAAAAAATTAAAAGGGCTGGGGATGTATCTTAGTGGTAAAGCACTTCTGGGTTCCGTCTCCAGTACCAAAAAAGAAAAAACAAGTCATTCCACTATGTCCGTGTGTCTCAGACATGAGCCCCACCACCTGTCCTGCTGACACTGGACCAGAGAGGCCAGTCTGTGGTGTAGTCCAATAGCCTCTCTCCTGCCCCAACAGCCCAGCTGGTGCTTCTTGACCTTGACCATGGGAAACTATGTCCATAAACAGATTTTCTGGGAAGCTAGTGATGGTTCAGTCTGAGGTCTCCTTGTTTGTACACTTCCAAGGCTCTGGGAAGGCGGAGGGACTCTAGTTAAGTGTCTACGTGGTCATAGGTTTTCCTTAAAATGTGAAAATGTAAGATCTTTCTGTAGTTATATTTTGTATGTGGTGTTGAGGATCGAACCCGGGCTGCACGCATGCCAGGCGAGCGCGCTACCGCTTGAGCCACATCCCCAGCCCCCTGTAGTTATATTTTAAAAGAACACCCAGATTACATATTTTGGGGCTCACATAACCTGAATCTGTCCCTGCTTGTGTCATCAACAAAAGAAGGAATTCATTTCGGTTACCAAGGAAGTTGAATAAATCATCAAGCTGGAGAGAGAAATATGAAAGAAAATCAATCCATTTAGGGAAGACACACCACAAAGGAGCATCCCTGACTCAGAGAAAGCAAAATTTTAAAAGATCAGGTGGTCTTAGTGGTCAACAAGCCAAACTCCTGTCGGGGATGTTCAAGGCTGAGGAGTCCGTAGCAGTGATGGACGATGTGGTTTTTGGCCCTTTTCCAGAACCAGGCAGCTAAATGGCACCTGCACCAGCTCAGTGGACATGGAGCTCTTTCTCCATTACTCCATCATCCCATCAGTAAGTAAAGACCAGGGAGGGACGAAGAGGGGAGAAGAGTTGGGTGGCTGTGTGACACAGGCCCCTGGAGGGCTGACAGCTCAGGGGAGGGACATCAGCAGAGTTTCTTCTCAAACCTTCATTCAGTTTCTTACATTATACACCAATCTCATAGAAGAAAGATGTAAAGAATTCAACCATCAGCGATATCGGATAGAAGACGGAGCCTGTGCAAAGGCCCTGTGGGGAGAGAGGAGATGGAGAGCGTGAGGAGCTGAGAAGGCCAGGAGTGGGGAGCCCAGGTGGAGGAGTCTGGGGAGCAGGGCAGGGCCCAGATAGGCACAGCCCTGTGGGGCTCTCTGTTGAGTTCTGTCATCAATCAGAGGACAAGGGAAATGACCGAGGGGTTTTCAGCGTGAGGGTGGCATGGTCAGATTTGTGTTTTTAAAGCTCACTCTGGTTGCAGTGTGGAGAGGAGGCTGGACTCTCTTGTGGGGCTCAGGGAGGGCAGCTTAGGTCCTCCTAGATGAGGGTGGACAACTTGAGATGTTGGGAGTGAGAGGACCTGCTCATGGGTGGGGGAGGGAGGTTAGAGTGAGCAGAGGTTGAGGATGACTCCTGGGTTTTACTTGCACATCTGGAAGGGTGGTGGCAGCTGCCATTCACTAGTGATGGAAAATTAGAAGAGATCCAGGTTTGGGGTGGATGAAACCACAAGGCAGGGAGAATATCATGAGTTCCATTTAAGACCCACTGAATTTGAGATGCTTCTTACAAAGAAATACCGAATGTGTGCTTGTATAGTTATGAGCTTTGGAACATGAGACATGTTCCATGTATGAGGACATGACCGAATCCACAGAGCAAATCTCTGACAGTCACCACTGCCTTTTCACAGATGAAGAGACCGAGGTTCAGGGAAGTTAAGTCTCCCTTCAAGCCAGTGTGTGGGAGAAACCAGGTTTGAACCCACATCTGTTCAGGGCAACACAAAAGAAAGCTCACTGCAAAACATCCGGTAGCTCAGGGCCACAAAGTCAGACCCCTGACTCTGCAGTGTGAGGTGACAGGGATGCTCTGCATGCTGGGCTCAGCCACACACCCTCTTTCAGTGGGGACACTGAGGCCCAGCTGAAGATGAACAGGTCCCACTGACTCTCCATCTTCTCTTCTACAGCTTTTCATCATTTTGGTCTTGTCCCTCCTACAAAGACGAGAGCATGGTAGACAGACAGACGACACTTCCTACCTCCTGGGGAACCACTTTGGAATCATCATGTGAGTTGAGTCGGGGTCAGCCCCTACAGCTGGGGGTACTCTGTAGTTGTGACCAACATCAACTTGAGGCCAGGTAGCTCCCAGGATCCATGCACAGTCCTGCGTGTCCCTTCCCCAATCCAAACAACACCCGAGAGATGAGAATCCACTTCTAAGCCATCGCAGCCCTGGGTGCTGAGATCTGCAGGAAGGAGACTAAAAGGACTCAGACTCCTGTGGAAAAGGCCTTCCCACGTGGAAGGTGTGGCCATCTCGGGGAACAGGAGGAAGAGCGTTCCCTGTGACTGGAGGCAGGGAGTCTTCCTGGCGGATGGTGCCATGAGTCATGTGCCAGATCTTGCTGCACCAGGGGAGCTTTCTTTAATTCCCCCCCTCTGTATTTTTTTTTTATTGGTGCATTGTGACTGTCCATAATGGCGGGATTCATTGTTACGTATTTGTTACATGCACAAAATATAACAATATGACTTGGCCAATATCATTCCCCAGTGTTGGAAAAGTCCACACCCAGTGCAGGTTTTCAGATGTGCAAGTTGTTGAATTGAATTGCATCCTAATCAAGACGCCACTGGCAGTACTTACAAGCCATGTGAGACTTGGTTTCCCCATCTTTAAAACAGATGGACACCCCTATTCTGCTCATCACAGTGTCAATGTAGAGAGCAAATGAAGAAATACTTTATAAGCTGTGAAGTGCCACAGGCACAGGAAGGGTTATATTTCAGTAAATAACCCCTTTCCACTACTCCACGGATCCCCCTTTGGTTTCCATGTGATGCCCACCACCTTTGTTTTCCTGTTTCCTCTCTACCTTCCACACACCAGGGGAGCTTTCAGGTCCTTTCTAGTTCTGCCATTCTGAGTCACTACATTCCTGATCATATTTTTTCATGGGTTCTATGTTGCCCCATTATCCCCAACCATTACCATCACCATCACCATCATCATCATCACCACCACCATCATAATTACCATCACCATCACCATCATCACCATTACCAACATCATCATCATCATCACTACCACCATCATAATCACCATCATCATCATCATTACCATCATCACCATCACTATCATCATCACTGTCATGCAGTTAACATTCATTGCACCCTGTTTGTGACCCGGGCCCTAAGCCACTTGCCTTGCATTAGTTTCCTAAACCCTCTTGGCAATATAGCGTCGTGGAGGCCATTATCCTCATACCATGGATAAGAAAACTCAGACTCAGGTTAAATGACTTGTCTAAAGCCATAGAGCTGCAAGTGACAGGAGCTTTAACCCAGACTGGTTTGGTATTTTTTCCATCTCCCAGTGTCGACGTGAGCAGGTTCAAGCTAGGGACACCCCCAGAACTCATCGCTGGGCTCTGGAGAAGGAAGAGGAAGCCAGAATGTCAGGACTGAGGCTGAGGTTGACCCTAGATGCAGAGAGGGAAAAATCCAACCACCAAGTCCAAGGGCACCTCACACCAGCTCTGAGCAGCAGTTAGAGGATTCTGGACACTCCCTGGGACATTTGACCCCTCCTAAAGCACCAGGTGTAAGCCACGCTGGGGGAGGCAAAGCTGAGGTTGATGGGTAAAGATCTCAGACCCCACCCCTGGCATTTGACATGAAGGGGCTGGTGCAGGACTTGGTAAGAAGCAGGAATTCCATAGCAATTGTATTAAACTTCTCTGAATTAAATTGACCAGGGCACATTTGACTTGCTCCTGGCCACTTTCCCATCCTGCTTCTTTTCATGATGTTTGCCTCCATCTTTACTGAACAATAACTCCATGTGCATGTGGCCCTCCACAGATTACCATTTGCTCTCCACAGTGGCACTCTAGTGAGCAGAATAGGGGTGCCCATCTCTGTTTTAAAGATGGGGAAACTGACTCTCCCGTGGCTTATAAGTACTGTCAGTGGCATCTTGATTGGAATGCAATTCGTTCAACAATATGCACATCTGAAAACCTGCACTAGGTATGGACCCTTCTCCAAGGTCCTGGGCTAGGTCCCGCCCCAGAGGAGTTGATAGTTTATAGTTGGAGTTATTTACTCTGGTCTAGACCAAACTCTCCTGGCTGGAAGAGACAGACGTGCATTCAAGCTTAGTTACAGGAAAAGAAAAGAAAAAATTTGAAAATAAAAAATTTCACAGAAACCAGAATGGCCTAATGAGAACTGGTCTCTAGAGCTGGGAACCTATGGGAGATTGGCTCTTTGTCTTTCTGTCCCTGTGTCACCAGGGCCCCTCAGCATTATTTTGCTGTATTCCTCTCTGGTAGCTAGGATCTCTGACTTAGGATCTCTGTGTGGCATTGACTCTGATCCCATCATGATGTGACTTTCCAAATTAGGACTTTAACGACCTACTTGCTCATAGCCCAAGGGCCACAAATCCAAATACAAGAACAGGCATCCACCCGGCTCATCCAAAGTCAGGAGGTGACCCTGCCAAGAAGGCATGGTCGTATAGGGAAGGCAAATTTTTCTCTTTACCCTCTTAAGGTGATTCAGCTGGGTCCCAGAATTAAATTGACATAAAAGAGATCCACAGGACAAAAGCATGCACATTGATTTAACATAAATTTTATGTGACACAGGAGCCCTCCCAAGGAAATGAAGGTCCACAGAGGCAGCTAAAGTGGAACATGGATATATTGAATTGGATCCAAAGTAACACATTGTGGAAAAGTAACTAAATGATGTGAAGATTAGAGTTATGTTAATTAGTTCCGAACAGAATTCTCCAATCTCAAATTCTCATCTTTATGATAAGAATGCTATTTTTCTCCTATAGAGAGGGAAATTTCACGTGGGAATTTTACCTCCTGTGTTGAAGTAGCAACATGAAGGTCAGAGTTAATATTCTTGTACCTTCAGGTTTAAAAGTGTATTTAACTCAAAATAATCAATGTGCTAGAGTGGTATAGGCTTAGTTCCTTCAATCACCTGGCACCAATGTGGCCAGAGATACCCAGACCCCATCAGATACACTGAAGAGAGAATTCTCATAGGACATATTTGGGTCCAGGGAAGGTTACCCCAAACCTGTATAGGACACGTTTGTTATTCTACCAAGTCATACAGTCTGTGTCTCATAGACAACATTTGTTCCATTTTGCCTGATGTCATGGATACTAGTGTCCTTGCTGTGTCCCCTACTGAACTTGGAGCTCCTCTAGGGAAAGAAGTTCGTTTTCCTCACTTCAGTCTCCGGAGTCTGTGTCTAGCTGCAGGGCGGGGGACTAGCTCTGAGGGGACCTCCGAGTTGAGTTTCGGTTATAATGAAGAGTTTACTCTCCAATCATCCCTCTTCCAGATGAGATGGCTACTTTGGAAACGATCTGTGGGAGTGTCTCAGAGTCATCTTCTGTCCTCATGAGCTGCTTCTGTTGTCTGCAGGCCTCTGGACTTCGTGGGGACTTTCAGTAACCGGTGGTCCTATGGAATCGCCTTTGGGGCCACAGCCAATAAGATCATGTTCTTGTTCTCAGAAGGCTACCAGCCCCTGCAGGTCCCGCAGTGGGCCCAAGGTACAGGCTGCCTCACTCCTGCTGGGACTTCACCATGGACATTCTTGCTATCAGGGGCCACAGGGGTTCTCTGGGGACAGGGGGTTAACATTGTGAACTGCCGTATTCTTCCCGGCCTGTGACTCGCCCAGGGTCAAGACCTAGCTCACAAAGCCCTAAACCTGGTTTGTGGGGCTTTCCCCCAGTGAGGTTCAGAGACCCTTTAGACGTGATGTAACAAGGGAGCAGGAAGTGGGATCGTCCCCCCCTACACCCGGCTGCTCTCCTGAGTCCCAGCCTCGCTACCTCTGGTTATCAACAGGCCTGGGATTCCTCCTCAAAGCATGATGTTTGCTCCTTCGGCCACTGGCTCCGCTTCCCATCCACTCCTACCTCCCGCCTCATGCTCCATCCGAAGAAGCGGGTCTAATTTACAGGTTCAGGGATTTCCTAGACAATTCCTGAACCTCTCTGCCCAGCCCATTTCCCTCTCGGGGGCTCTAAGCTTAAAAGATCAAATGCCTACCAGGCTCTCGTCCATCTTCAGAACCCAAACGGCATCTCACTGGACACCTGTCAGAAGTACCCAATTTGAGAAGTTTTAACCAACCCATGAATCCAATGCCAAAATCAAGATAAGGGACCCAGAAGTTTCCTTATTCCCCTTTGTAACCTCTGATTCCCTGTGGCCTCCTGTCACTGCTCTATCTCCAAGAAGCCACCTACCTGCTTATTTTGAATGTCCCAGGATTTTGTATAAATGGAATCATCTGGAATGCCCTTTCTTTTCTTTTTTTTTGACCTGGCTTCCTTCACCTAGCATAATTATTTTGCAATTCATACATGTTTAGCGTTCATCAATAGTTCATCTTTTTAAATTGCTGAGCATATTTCACTACCTATCACAGTTGATCCACTGACCTGTTGATGAACATCTGATTTATTTCCACTTGTTGGCTATTGCAAATAAAGCTGCTATAAACATTTGTGTACAAGTCTTAGAATATGTCCATGTTTCCATTTTCTTCAGGTAAATAAATATGAATGGAATGGCTGGGTCATATAGATCATACAGTAGATCATGCTTTTTAAGAAACTATGTAACTGTTTTTTAAAGTCATTGTAACCATTTTTAGATGGCCACCATGGTATGTGAATTCTAGAATTTCTACATCCTTGTCAGCACTTGGTATGGCCAAACTTTATTTTTAGCCATTCTGCGTGGTATGTAACGGCACCTCATGGTGGTACTCCTTTGCATTTTCATAACAATGGGGCTGAGAGTATTTTCATGTGCTTATTTGCTGTTGTTATACCCTCTTTGATAAAGGTTTAATAACAACGATTCTGTCCAAATCACTTAGCTAGTTTTGAAAATTGAGATTTTTGTTTTCTTATTGAATTCAGGGAGTTCTTTATATATTCTAGGTATAAGTCTATTATCCAATATATGAATTGAAAATGTTTTCTCCCATCTCTGGCTTGTACTCTCATCCTCCTAACAGACTTTTGAAAGGCTGACCCCTTTAATTTTGATGAAATCTAATCGACTCTGTTTTTCTTTTATGGATCATGCTTATGGTATCATATAAGAAATTCTTGCCTAAACTAAGGTCATGTAGATTTCTCGTGTTTTTTTTTTTTAACATTTGGAGCTTTGATACCTTTTCTTCTTATGTTCTCGGAGCCTCTCCCAGGACCAGCTCAGAGTAGACACTTGGTACAGGTCCTCCTGCATGAATGGATTCTCCTAAATCCTGTTAGAACATCTCAGAGCTGGGGAGTGGCAGGACCCGTATGCAGAGGGTGTGCTGTAGTGTACACAGCATGTCCCTCTATGTTGCTACTGTGCACTCATGGTACTGTATTCTCGTAGTTTTTGTGAGTGTCTTTCTGTGGTCTGTCTCCACCTGTCATACTGTGAGCTAATCACCTGCAGGGATCGAATCTTCTTCATCTCTTTAGAAAGCCCCCTGCCTGCCCAGAGCAGGACCAGGAAGGGCCTGTTGCAGGAATGACAGGCTCTGCTCCTCCTTGGGTGTAGCCTGGATCTTCTCCACTTACCCCGACTTAGGGTCTGTACAAGCACCGCAGCTTCCCAGGGTGAGGGGGGAGCTCACCGTCTCTGGCCTTTTCTCTGCCAGCTTTTGTGCTTCTGATCGGAGGCTTCGAGGTCGGCCTGTCCTTCTTCCCCTTCTTCGCCTGCCTCTCGTCCGAGTTCCGGCTGACCAGCTCCATCCTGGGCTTCTGCTACTCCCTGCTCTGGTAAGATGGACTCTGCCGCTCCCCTGCACCCCCTGATTCCTTAGGCTGGAGGTGATCTGAGTGCAACCCTTGAAGGACACCTTTGCCTAGAACTGGGACCCAGAGTGGGCAGGGGTGACCTGTCCAGGGTCCCATGAGACCCCCTTCTTGAAATGCACTTGAGACTTCCAAAGGTCAGAGCAGCATTCTGTCTGCCCCACCTAAGGCTGCTCATTATTAGAATATTCCTAGAAGTCGGGGACTTAAGCTGCCCAGGGTCCCCCTGGGGAAGACGAGAACCCCATTTGATGCTTCTCTTTAACACTATCATGGCTTGTCTCAGGATCCTCAGAGAAAGCGCATGTGCCCTTGCTTGGCATTCAGGGGCACCGAAGCCTGGCCTCTTCCTCCCTCTGCAGTCCCCAGCAGTGTCTAGCACACACCTCCATCCCATGAGACCACACTCCTGCACTCCTGCACCAGCTCATCCTGCAACCACTCTTACATGCCCACCGTGAGCCAGGGGAAGCAAGACAGAGCCGCAGGCCCGTGTTCTGGCCCTTGGTTCATGTGTTCCTGTTCCTGGTGTGGGTCGTCTTCCCCTCACCGGGCTCAGGGGTAGATATGACCTCCTGCTCCATGCACAGTGGCTCCCGCCAGACACCCAGCTGCCTCACCTGCCTGTTGGGCTCCGTGCCCTCAGCACGGGGCACCAGACTGGCACAGAGCTGGCACCAGGGAACACTGTTGACTGAGTAACACCAAGAACGATTCTCCAGCTCCCAGGGGGAGGCTCATTTTCTTGCTTCCAAATCCCTCTAGAACCTGCTAGTGTTTTCCAGGGGGCAGGTCCTCAGGTCCATCAGCCAGGGGTGGCCGGCAGGGCCTCACAAGCAACTGACACACCAGCGGCCACAATCCCAAGTTTGTCAGTGACATGCTTCTTAGACATTTAAATTGAGGGCTTCCAGGGTTCGATGTGGAGCGCTATCCTCCATTAGCCGGTGACAAACCCTGGACAAGGAAACAGGAGCATGGGAATCACTCAGCAGCTTGGCTGCCATAGGGCTGGGGCCCGACCTTGAACGTGACCAGGGGAGTGTGTTGAGCCAGGCTCACAGCTTCAGAGGGGGGTTTACAGACAAGGCCACAGAGAGGCAGAAGGAGCCTCAGCTGCCCAGTCAGGAGATCTGGGTCCGAGTCCTGGCTTGCCCCCGCATCCCTGTGCCCTGGATAGACCTTGTCAACTCTGGACGTCCACATCCCACCTGAATGATGGGGGATGGGAGGACGAGCTCCCCACATCTTCCAAACACGGTGCCTGAGTGGGGAGGGATACCAGACCTCCCCAGGGGGCAAGGAGTGGGAGACAAGTCCGGGCTGGTGGGATCTGGGCTGTTTTCACAGGAGCTACTGGTGGGGCTGGGCTCAGAGGGAACCCAATGCCCTAAATCCTGTTTCTGTTCCTACAGGTTTGTACTCACTGTTCTTCAAATCTCAGAGTGTCCTCATGGGCAGGTAAGTGTCTGCTGACCTTACCTGTCACATCATCATGGCCTACCTGCTGTGTGACCTTGGACAAGCCTCTGTCACTGTCTGGGCCTCAACTTCCTCATGTGCAAAAAAGGGAGTGGGAACCACTCGTGATGCTTCCATTTGTGTAACACCTTGTGTTCATTCATCAAGGGGTCATCAGGGTGCCTGTTCACAGGCAGGTAGGGGTCCCACAGCAGCCCCACCTGGTGGGGAAGTTCCTCAAACCTATTTTACAGGTGAGGAAACTGAGTCTCAGCACATTAAGTAACTCATAGGAAGCCTAGAGTTGGGAATTGAGGTCAGGTCTGGCTGACTCCAAACCCCATTTCTTTCCATTCCGTGTAGCCTCAGTTTCTCTGTCTATAAAAGGGAGGATTCACCTAGGGGCACCCTTCCGGCTTGGCCATGAGTTGTCCTTCTCAGGGTTGATGGAGGCTGGTTCATGTCTTTAGCCCTGGGGCCCAGAAATGGAGAAAGATGCAAGAGGGCTGCTAGGCCTCCCTCTCTCCTTCCCTGCTCCGGGGCTACTTCTCCCTCTTCCTCTCTTCCTTCCCACCTCGTCCGTCCACCTGGCTAGCTGCCTCTCAGTCTCTCATATTTTTCAAAAAGAACATCTAATTTCCTAATCGGGAAAAACAAAAAAGACATGAACACTGTTTTCATAAAAGAAAACGGGGGTGGAAAGACCCGCAACCCGGGCTGCGGGACTCCAAGTCCAGAGCTTCCCGGAGCATCTTGGCGGGACGGGGACTGGCCGCGGACTTCGGAGCGCGGGGCGGGCGGGCCTTGGTGGGAGCTGCTGGGCCGGCCGAGCCCTCGTCACAGCGCCCCCTGGTGGCCAGGCCCTGCCCCGCAGCAGCCCGCGCCCTTGCTCTGCTTCCCTTGCAGTTTGTGGGGAGGTACGAGACCCTGCTCTTCTACTGGCCCTCGCTGCTGTGCCTGGCTTTCTTGCTGGGCCGCTTCCTGCACATGTTCGTCAAGGCTCTGAAGGCCCACCTGGGCTGGGAGCCCCGCGCGGTGAGTGTACTGGTTGTGTGCACCACAGGTTTAATCCTCACGGCAGCCCTGGGAGGTGGGTACCCTTATAACTTCTCACTTCCTGGATTCAAAACCTTGGACCCAGAGAGGTGAGTTGAGTTGCCTAAGGTAACCCAGCCAATATATGGCAGAGCCAGAATTGGAACCCAGACAGTGGGGTTAGGGAGCCTCTCTCTTAACCCCTGTCATACACAGCCTCTCTGGCTTGGGGTAATTGTCTGTAGCCTAGGGTCATGCTGGGGTAAGATAGGTTCTCCTCTCTCCCCACACCTTCCTGTTGAATCAGAACTTGGGGTTTCTAGTGACACCTGGGACTCACTTGCTGCAGCTTTGGCCTTTTGCATCTCCTGAGTTTGAAGGAGTTGTGAGTAGTTTGTTTTATTTAACTTGAAAATTTCTTGTCATTTGGTTATCTTTTCAAAAGGAATACATGGCAGTCAGGGCAAGCTAGGTTATGCTGTAGTAACGAACAAGCCTCCAGATCTCTGTAGCTTAAAACATTAAGAGCTCATGTCTCACTATTGCTGCATGGCCATCAAAGGTGTGCTGGGGGCTTTCTCCCAAGTTCTCTTCGCTCTGTGACCCAGGATGATAGAAGAGCCATCACTGAGAACACTACTGATTGGCACAGATCAGGGAAAGAAAACATAGTGAAGAATGCACTAGCTTTTCAAGTCTCCACCATGATGTCACTTGCCATTCAGACATTTTTGGACAAAGCCATCCTTTGGTCATGCACACCTTCAAGTGGGTGAGAAGACACAACATTATGTATTGTATCTTGAAGGACGTAGAACCAGGGTGTTTGTGGATGGCCGGAAGACTCGGGCAGCTGCCTAAAAATAGCACAAGAAAGAAAGTGACATTAAGGTGCCCTGGCTATGACAAAGAGCTTCAAAATGTTTCACATTTGAATATGGAAGTTAGGTCTTCCTGGATTCCCCTCAAATACAGTTGCTGGTAGAGTGTTTTTTCTAAAATATAAATTTTATCTAAATATATACTTTTTTTTTTTCCTGTAGAGAAAAAAGGCCAATTTGGATGCTTTTGCTTAAAATTGGGGGAAAAAAAGGAAGATTTTTTTTTTTTTTATCCTGAGAAAATAGCTGTCACTAGTTGGGGGCTTTTCCTGGACAGGCATTGTGCAAGTGCTTTGTAGAGAGTCTCTTCCTGAGTCCCCACCATAACCTTCTGGAAGATATTATTTACTCCATTTGCTAGTGAGGGGCCCAAGAGCAGAGACGAAGCTTGTCTGAGGCACACAAATCCCGATCTCCAGTGGGATCCTAACCAGATCTTTTGGACTCTACCCCAAATCCTGGATATATAAGATCTCCCCTCACAGCACAGAAAATATAAACATTTGATCTGTAGAAAAAGTAAGTGACTTTTGTGGGAAGCTCACTGCCCTTGGAGAAACATTTCAAACCAGACCACTAAAATTTCTTTTATTTAAATGCTGAAAAGGTAAGCAATGAGCCAGAGAATCTCCTCTTCATCAACAATGAGAGTGTTAGGATTTGGAGTGCATCTTTCTTAATTCAGGACTTGAACTATGATGGGAAATCGCCAGTGTCTCAGGAAGTCAGTGCTGTGACACAGTGACCCAGTGGCTGGCAGTCAGGGGGCAGGAGGGCCGAGGACAGCAGCGAGAGCCTGATCAACAGGAATCTGATGGAACCCTCCAAGAAACGATGGCTAAATCGCATTCCCAGAGTCCTGCTCTCAAAAGCGATAGCCCCCCAGAGTCCTGAACCCGAACCAGACAGGTGCCTTCCTGTGTCCTTTCCCACAGGAGGAAAAGCCCCTGCTGGAAGCTCATCAGGCCGAGCATGTCAAACAGCTCCTGAGGAAGGCCTGCCCACGGTAAGCCGGCTTCTGCCCTTCACCCCCAGGCTCACTGAGGAGCCCCCAGGGGACAGGCCCTGGGACCGGTGGGATGGCGCTATAGGAGCCAGGGCTCTTGTTGGCTAATTACAGAAAACAACCCCAAGTGAACTATCTGCAAGAAAGGAAATGAGTGGGTTCACACTGCTAAGAAATCGGGAGGGACTCAAATCTAGGGCGTATTGTTTTGTTTTGTTGGTACCAGGGATTGAACTCAGGGACACTCAACCACTGAGCCACATCCCCAGCCCTGTTCTGTACTTTATTTAGAGACAGGGTCTCACTGAGTTGCTGAGTGCCTCACTTTTGCTGAGGCTGGCTTTGAACTTGTGATCCTCCTGCCTCAGCCTTCCACTGGGGATCACAGGTGTGCACTGCTGTGTGCGGCCCTCCAGGGGCTTATTGATATCATCAGAACTAGGTCTCTTTCCCTCACTCTTCTCCCAGCTAGGCTTTCACTGTTTGGGCTTCACAGGTAGGTGGGCTTCCTCTGTGTGGTGCTCCCAGACTTTTAAGTTTATATCCTCCTGACTTGAGCTCAGAAGAAAGAAAAATTTTCCTTTCCAGTTATGCAGATAAAAGTCTCAGACTATCTGAGGATAGTGGCACACACCTGTAATCCCAGCGACTGGGCTGAGGCAGGAAGATCACAAGTTGGAGGCCAGCCTCAGCAACTTAGTGAGACTTTGAGCAATTTAGCAAAATCCCCTGTCTTTAAATCAAAAATAAAAAGGGTTAAAAATGTTGTTCAGTGGTGAACTACTCCTGGTAGCCTCTCCAAAGTCCCCCCACCACCACCACCACCACTTTTCAAATTGCATTGGCCTGAATTTAGTCTGATCACTCTTCACTGCTAAGAAGCTAGGAATTTGGTCATTTAGCTTAGTAAATTATTGCCCCCCACCCAGAAAACCCCCACAGTCTTTGTAAAGATAAGGGATTATGGGGGCTGGAGTTGTGGCTCAGTGGTAGAGCACTTGTCTAGCATGTGTGAGGCCTTGGGTTCAATTTTCAGCACCACATATAAATAAATGAATAAAATAAAGGTCCATCAACATCTAAAAAATATTTTTAAAAAGATAAGGGATTATGAAAACAGTAAAAACTACTAATGCTCTTTCTGTACCCTAAATTCCAAGACAAAGAGGAGAAGACAGTGCTATTGTTGGAAGAATCGGGTATGTCTTTACCTACGTCTCTTTTCTTGGTGTTTATTCATTCACAGAGAGAGAGAAAAGTCTTGGTTCCAAACCAGGGTATATGACTGGGACCCCTGTTTTCAATTCCCAAGCAGAATGGTTGGAACTATCGTGTTGGCGTTCATCTGCCTGTACCTTGTAAGTAGCTCTGTGGAAATCCTTTTATATTTCATAAATGGAGCAGGGCAGGGGCTGGGTTATGGGGTCTTTGATGCATGGAATCTGTTGAGTAGGTTCCTGAAAAGCTGGGCCAAAATCAAATCTTGGTAAGTCAAGGAAGTACAGGGCTTCAGTGCTCCCATTTTGATCACAAAGGACATGTTTACCCACAGGGTGAATATCACTAAGAAAATGAATCCACACAAATAAAACTGATAGTGGTTACAACTCACGATCCTCTTGCCTCAGCCTCCCAAGCTGCTGGTATTACAGGCATCGTGAGTTCAAAGCCAGCCTGAGGCATGAAGCAACTCAGTGAGACCCTGTGTCTAAGTAAAATACAAAATAGGGCTGGGGATGTGACTCAGTGGCCGAGTGCTCCTGAGTTCAATCCCCGGTATCAATAAATAAATAAATATATAAAAGTGGATAAACTAGAATTGGTTTATGGTACTATATTTTAAAAATGGAATGAAGTTTAAAAGTCTAATTTTAGTTTGCTTTCTTGCCCCCAAAATACTTTTTTAGTTGGAGATGGACACAACACCTTTATTTTATTATTTATTTTTATGTAGTGCCAAGGATTGAAATAAGAGCCTCACACGTGCTAGGCAGGTGCTCTACCACCGAGCCACAGCCCAGCCCCTCACCCCAAATTTTTAAATGTTGACATGATTCTGATTTCAGTGTTTATTAACTGTAGAATCAAAACTTGTGTGGTCAAAGTTATCTGAGGTAAAATGACAGTCAAGAGAGTGTCAAATAGAATAAAAATGGTAAAGGCCAATCATCTTTTGCTCGTCTCTATGTATAGGGATGATCCTTATTTAAATTAATCCTGTGATTAAGTTTTCAAGTGAATGTATTAATTAGGTTATGCTGAAGTGTCCAGTAATCCCCTAAATCTCAGTGGATCAACACTCTACGTTATTTGCCCACACAGCAGTGCTGAGGGGGTATTCAGAGAGCTCGGTCATTCAGGAACCCAGTAATCTTTCATCCTGTGTTCCTGCTTCCTGAGAACCTCATTACCATCTGCATGCCGTCAACAGAAAGGAAGGAGCATGGAGAAATGCCTATGGGAGTTTTTCTCTTTTTTTTTTTTTTCTTTTGGTAGCAGAAATGGAACCCAGGGCTGATTAACCACCAGGCCTCATTCCCCAGACTTTTCTTTCCTTTAATTTTGAGACAGGGTTTTGCTAAGTTTCTGAGGCTGGCTTCTAACTTGTAATCATCCTGCCTCAGACTCCTGAGTTGCTGGGATTACAGGTGGGTGCCACTATGTTCAGCTTATAGGAAATTTTCATGGACTGGGTGGCAATATCACATGTCCCTTCTAGTCCTCTTCCATTGGCTAGAACTGGCCATGTAGCCACACCTAATATAAGAAGCTAGGAAATGGGTCTAGCTTTGCAACCCAAAGAAGGGAGAATGGATTTCCAGGGACACCTAGAGTTCTCTTCAATATTGAACAACTCCCTAGGAGTTATGGCATTTCTTAAGTGTTCATTGAGCATCTATTGTATGTTCAGCACTGTGCCAAGAATCTCATGTTCTGAGTGATGGATATAAGACATGGTATGGATATATAAGACATCTTCTAGTCTAGGATAAAAAAGTGGATAAGGTGAATGTGCTCTGGAAGTTCAGTGAATTCTTCTAAATTGAGATACTGCTTGTACGTGATAGCATTTGAGCTCCACTTTCAGAGACAAACATGATTTGGTTGGCAGAGAAAAATGGCAGCAGGAGCCATAGAAACAATGTGCGATGATAGGAAGGCAGACTGGTGGGTAAGCACATTTGTATGGAAACACCTTCTCCTATTTGGCTCCTGTCAGGATCAATGAAGGCTAGAGCAATGGGAGTGGTGGTTGTAACGGTCCCCAAGGTCAGCTCTTTGTCCTGCAGGGGCTCAAACCCTGGGAAACAGATTTGGCATCCGTGCAGGTAAAAGAAGATGCAAGGTGCAGTTGGGATAGTAGGCGTGCTCTACCTGGAGACAGTAGGAGCCTCTAGCCACCAGTCCTTCCATATGCATTTTTATATGCAAACCAAACAAAGAAGGCACTTTGCCAGCAGGTTACATAAGTGCGTGCCCACAAGAAGATGTTTTTGATCTGAGCAAAAGTGCTGAATCAGGGTGTTTATGACCTTGACTACACGCTAAAACATAGCTGGCTGGAAGTCTCAGCGAGGGAGCTTAACTGTAGCCATCTGGGCTTGCCCTACACCCTCACTCAAAGTTACCCATTCATTTCACGCTGATCCCATTAATGTTTGAGGAGTTCCTTGGGGCCCAGTCTTGTGTGCTATAAGGTGAGAACAGAGTGGAAAGTTTTCTATCAGCTCCTGTCTCATTCATCTTAAAATAGCCAGGGTCACTTTTGGAAGTTGAAATGCCTGTAAGAGGCTGATTTCAAAACCAAAGGGAGTCCATAAGCTATTCCCCTGTTGAGCCAAACTCAGGTGAGACCTTGAAACCTTTGCTCTGTGTCCCCAGTTCATCATCATTGAGTTCTGCATGTTTGTGTTCGTGAGAGACAAGCTGGATGTGTTTGAAGGCAAGCTGGAGAGTTATATCGCCTTAATGAACGAGACGGGGACCCTGACCCCAGTCATCTTGCAGGTGAAGGAGCTGATCAGTGTCTCCAAAGGTAAAACCATCTGCTACCAACATTCCCGCCACCAGCATGGGAAACCAAGGGAATTTTAAGTGTGGCAGTGCACACTTGTAGTAATATTGCTGTTAGTGTTGAAATCACCTGGCTGAGATGCCTGGCCTTGGAGCAAAATATGCTAGAGTTGATTTGTGCCTCCCTGGGTCAACAGAAAGACACAGGGGTCGGGACACAGAACATTTTGTCAGGATCTCTTTGGGGCTGAACTGAATGTGCCCTGAGAATTTTCTTATCTTAAATAGCCTATTTTTTTCAATTCCAGTGGAAAGAACTAAAATGTTCTTTTATTTTCCACTTGGAAAATAAAATAAAACACCGAGTCTTCACTTTTCTTTAAGATAACATGAAAAGTTCATTCACATTTTTAAAAATTTGCCCGAAGGTCACTTTTTAAAATAGATCTCTTGTTGTAAGTTGGAGGCCAGTGTAGGCAACTTGGTGAGACCCTGTCTCAAGATAAAATTTTAAAAAGCCCTGGATTCAATCTGCAGTATTACATGTGTACACACACACACACAAACAGACTCGAATTTATTTCTTTTGTCCCATTGAAATTTGTATCCTTAGATTAACTGCTCCCTGAGATCTTCCCTCTGCCACTGCCCACCTCTGATAACCTCCATTCTCTACTTCCTGCTTCTATGAATTCAACTTTTTTAAGATTCCATGCGTATGTGACATTATATGGTATTTGCCTTAATATCCTCCAGGTTCATCCATGTTGTCAGGATTTTCTTCTTTTTTTTTTGGCTGAATAGTGTTCCATTGTATACACAACTTTTTTTTTAATCCATTCATTAGCTGATGGACACTTAGGTTGAGTCCATATCTTGGCTATTATAAATAATGCTGCCATGAACATGGGAGTGAAGATATCTCTTTGACATACTGACTTTATTTCCTTTGAATATATACATAGTAGTGGCATTGCTAGATCATAAAGTAGTTGTATTTTCAATTTTTTGGAAATTTTTGAAACGGCTTCCCTATTGTTTCCCATAATGGTTGTACTAATTTATGGACCAACCGATAGTATGCAGAATTTCCTATGTCTCCACATCCTTCCCAGCACTTAAGTTATCATTTGTCTTTTTTGATAATATTCATTCTAACAGGTGATATCTCACTGTGGTTTTAATTTACATTCCCTGATAATTAGTGATGAGCAGTTTTTAATATGCCTATTGGCCACTTATATGTCTCCTTTTGAAAGTCCTTTGCCCCTCTATTGTGGGCAACAGAGATGTCACGTCCTCCTATAAAGAAAATTTTCTTTGAAAATGATCTATCCTAATGACGTGTCCATTGTCTGTGGAGGAAGGAGAATTGTCTTCTATTCCAAAATGAGAAAGCACCTGGACAAGGCGTCAGGATCAACTTGTCCTTGCTGCAGGACAAGTTGGAACCCTTCTCTTGGCCTCGGTTTCCTCATCTGCAGAGTGGGGCTTGTAGAGGCTTGCTAAATGGTTTGCAAAAACTTTCAGGACTCTGATATTTAATGACTAATGTTCCCTAACTCATGAAACAGACGTGGCAAGTGACTTTTCCCCCCCTTTAGACTCTTGAGCTGGGAGAGTATCAAAACTTGGGCGAGGAGGGCCTTGATATGAATTACTCTCTTACACCCAGGTATGTCATAGATGTTACCTTCCAGGTGGATGCTGAGGCAGGTACTGCTCCTTCCATAGTCCCATAGTTTACTGTTGCCCCTGAACATTTCATTTATCTTCAATGCATATTTATGTTCAGCATGGTGAGATCCTGGGCATAACACAGAGAGCATATGCTACCCTTTAATTTCAGGAATACCCATTCTAAGTCTTATTTATGAAAGTCCCCATTTCTATCTTTGTTCTGAGGAAATTTTTAAGGCAAATCTTAGTTTCCTGGTTTGGGTGCATGGTAATGAAAAATCACCAAGTCACTCATGTTTTGAAATATTTCTTATGTATATGTGTATTCTGAGAATCAACATAAAAATTTCCCTGTACTCTGGTCTCTTCCAACTTTAAGACAGCGGCCCATGGGGCTGGGATTGTGGCTCAGTGGTAGAGCGCTTGCCTAGCACGGGTGGGACCTAGGTTCGATCCTCAGCACCACATAAAATAAAATGCATTGTGTTGTGTCCATCTACACCAAAAAATAAATATTAAAAAAAAAGACAGCTGCCTTCTTGTCCCAAGAGACTTTTCACTTGACATTCTTCACCTTTATCTGGGAAGACACAGGCATTGAATTGAAGCAGTGAGGTCAAGTTTGGGTTGCTAGCTGGTGCAAGCCTGCACTCACTCCTTCCTCCCAAGAAGGCCTCGGAGTCCCCTGGGGGGCTCAGGATGTTTTACCATATTCTATGGGTTGATTGGGATTTGGGGTATAGCCATTGCCTAGTCTTGGTGATCCAGACACAAAGACTCTTTTGAAACTTGAAATCAGCTCTTATTTTCTTTTCTAAAACGTAACTTTCTGAAGACACAAGTCACATGCTGTGTAATTGGTTTTTTGAATACACAATTCAGTGGTTTTGTTCTCAAGGTTGGGCAACCATTACCAGGATCAAATTCAGGACATTTTTAATCACCTCAGAATGAAATAATGACCCATTTGTAGTCACTCCCACTCCCACCTCCCAACTCTCCCTGTCCTAGACATTCACCAATCCTTTTTCTGTCTCTATGAATTTGTCTTTTTGGAATATGTCAGATAAAAGGAATTTATGTCATTTTTCATGACTGGCTTCTTTCACATAGCATAATGCTTACAAGATTAATCATGCCGTAGCATGTATTTAAACTTTTTATTATTTTTTGTATCTTTTAATTCCTTTTTTATTGTCAATTACTATTTCATTACCTTCCTCCCCTGATTCCTGTGTCCATCCCTCAGATGTTTCCTATTTTGATAAATTCCAACTTATCTACTTTTCTTATATCACTTGTGCTTTGGGTGTCAGAGCTAAGAAACCATTGCATAAATCAAGATCACAAAGATTTTTTTCCTCATATTTTCTTCTAAGTCTTTTATAGTTTTATCTCTTACATGTAGGCCTTTGATCCATTTTGGCTTAATTCTTACATATGGTATGAGATATGCGTTTAGCTTCATTTGTGTGTGTGTGTGTGTGTGTGTTTATGTGTGTGTGAATAGCCAATTGTTCCAGCACCATTTGTTGAAGAGCATATTTATTCTTAACTGAATTGTCTTATCGTCTGTGTTGATAATAGATTGACTTATAAACTATAATGGTTTATTTTTGATACTCAATTCTATTCCATTGATCCATTTGGTTATCTTTCTGCCAGTTCTACACTACCTTTATTACTGTAGTTTTGTACTAAGTTTGAAATTAGGAATAGTGAATCCTGTAATTTTATTCTTTCTTAAGATTATATTGTCTATTCTTAGTCTCTTCATTGTAAGTGATTTTTTGGATTAGTTGTTAATTAATGCAAAATGGCATTTAGATTTTCATACAGATTAACTTGAATATGTAGATCAATTTTTTAACAATTAATATCCTATATGTGAACATGAAATGTCCTTTCATAAATTTAGATCTTCTTTAATTTCTTTCAAAATCTTTTGTAGTTTGCAGTATACAAGTTGAATATTCTTTCACTATGTTTATTCTTAAGTATGTTATCCTTTTTGATACTATTATAAATGCAATAGTTTTCTTCATTTTCAGATTGTTCATTGTATATAGAAATACAATTGACTTAATGTATTATTCTTGTAACCTGAAAGTTTTGCAGAACTCATTTATTATTTCTACTAATTTTTTGTGTGTATCCCCTAGGATTTCCTGTATATAAGACCATGTCATTTGTGCATAGAGATAGTTTTACTTCTTCCTTTCCAACCAGGATGCATTTTATTTTCTTTTTCTTGACTAATTGCACTGTCTACAACCTCCAGTATAATGCTGACTACAATTGACAAGAGCTGACAATTCGGGCTGGGGTTGTGGCTCAGTTGGGAGAGTGTTTGCCTTGCATGTGTGAGGTACTGGGTTCGATCCTCAGCACCACATAAAAACAAATAAATAAGATAAAGGTATTGTGTCTGTCTACAACTAAATATATTTATTTAAAAAAAAAAAAGAGCTGACATTGCTTATCTTGTGCCTGATGTTGAGGGAAACTTTCAGTCTTTCACCAATAAGTCTGATACTTACTGTGGGTTTTCAGCAGATGCCCTTTATCAGGCTGAGGAAGTTCCCAGCTATTACTAGGTCATTGAGTGTTTTTAATTATAAAGATTGGATTTGCCAAATGCTATTTTTTCCTGTACCTATTGAGGATTAGCTTCTACAGAACCTTTTAAACCAACGCATCACCTTCCTTCCCTGATTCCTACATTCCTCCCTCATTAATGCACAGAATCTCTCTGAAAGCAAGTTAGATTCTAAATATCAAAAACTTGATTAAGGGTGAATGAGTGAATAGCCAAAACCTTTTGATCCCCATTATCCTTGTATCTGGTTGCTGTGTAACCAACGCATCCCCAGAAGTGGCAATTGTAATTCAAACATTAATGTTGTTTTCCATAGACGGAGGCTATCAGTGATGTGTGTACTCCACAATTTTCCCTTCCTTTATTCGCTATAGAGTGAAAAATATAACGCTAAAGGAGAGAATAATGAAGGAAATAAAGTGCATCAAGGTTGTGTGTGGTTAAAATGAAACAGAAAAATGAGTAGAAGTTTATCTATCTATCAAGAAATGTATGGATAAAGGAAATGTATAGATAAAAGAAGCATAATTTTGCTTAGACCTTTTGGGTATGGGATTCTGCTTCTTGAATATTCCATTCTAAGTTTATTTTTCAAGGCCTCTCATCTCTCTTTTCATATTCCAGGAGTCTGGGTGGCTACAATTTTGCCCGCATCTCTCACGAGTGTGAGCTATCTGTTCCATATTTTGGCCTGTTACAGGTAAGAGGACTCTGGGAGTCATTTGTGTGACTTTAGCCAGAATGTTATCACTGACTTCTCAGAACTCCGGATCGGTACCTGCAATACCAATCTGTGTCTAGGAATTGAATACAGTGTCCAGGTTAGCCACATCTTTTGATAGGAAGGAAGAAAAAGTTCAACTATGGATTTGAACTTCTCTGATGAACAGGCATTAAGCTAAAATCCTCATTGAATGTCTCCATTTTTACGCTTTGAGAAAGCTGAGACTCAGCAATTAAATAATATGCCCAAGCAATTAGCAGATGGTTCAGTCTTTCTGGCCACAGAGATGTTTTCTGGCATTTCCATTGGGCATCAGACCTACTCAGCTATTTGAGGTTGATAACTGTGGGCTCCCAACAGGTAAATCTAGATCAAGGGACATCAGTGGAACTTGGGTCAGGTGGACCAGGAGCATCAGTCTCAAGAATGACAGTGCAGGGACAGCAGTGCACAGAGCAGGAGGAGGGGATGGCCTTAAATATGCATAAGCATTTACTTACAGGCGTCAGTTTTGGTATACACTGCTATCTTTCTCCCCACAAACCCCACAGGCCCATAGAGAGCATCTCTGAAGCATCGTATCTTAAGATTCTCCCCATTTGCCTGCCCAAAGAGACCCAAAGGGCAGGTCTCTTGCAGATGGAGTCCACAAGAATATTCTCCTGGCATGAAGGGACCCAGCTCTCCACCCAGCCCTGCCTTGCTCTCTCTCTCTGCTTTCTTCTCTGTGGACCTGATGGGTGGTCTACCTGTGGCTGGAGATATTCTGTGAGACCTCTGAGTGTAACCAAGGGCAACCACACTGCAGAGGGGCTGATGGATTTGGAGGAGGGTGGCTCAAGAGGAGGGAGGAGAGGGTATCTGGAGAGAGGAGGTCTGTGTTCCTGTCCAGGCGGCTCCTTGCCTTCCACCGTCCTCCAGGAGGGACGACCCGTGCCTTGCCTTCTTATCAGGACAGTGGGGCAGAGGAAATTATGGGTGAGAAAACCCCCTACATACTTCAGGGCACTAGCACTGTGCCAGCATTTTAATTGCTCTTGGCATTATCTATCCTAAGCTACATGTAGACACTTTAAAAAAGTATTATGAAGAACATTTAGTGTAAAAGTAAGTCTTCCTCACACTTGGATTCCTAAGGTCTTACCCCCAGATATCTACTGTTAACTGTTTTCTGTGTATCTTTCTAGAAATTTCTTATGCACAGTACAAATATATGCTCTGTGTGTGTGTGTGTGTGTGTGTGTGTGTGTGTTGGTGGTGGTAGTGTACAACTCCAATGCTACAAAAAAAAAAAAAAGAAAGAAAAGAAAAAGAAAGTCATACATGCAAATTTGAAATTTCTGGTACTCCTATTTAAAAAGTAAAAAGAGACTAGTTACATCACATATTTAATAATACATTTTATTTATGTCAATATAGCCTAAATATTCTCATTTAAAAATGTAATAATTATGAGAATTATTGACGAGATTCTTCTATTCTTTTTTTTATGCTAAGAGTTTTGAACTTAGTGATCATGAAAAGTGAAAAAAAAAAAGTCCTGGAAAAATGCTGGAGGTAAAATGTTAAGTTAAAATAAAAAACAGCACAAACGCAAACGTACCCTGGGACTGTGACAATGTCAGCCTGATCTCTATGTCCAGGGCCAAGGCCTAGAGAAGGACGTGGGAAAGGAAGCAGTCTGTGCGGGTGGGTGGCGCGGGCTGCCGGGCTCTTGTTCCCCTCCGCACTGTTGTAAGGGCAGGCCAGCCACACCACCGGTCTCTGTTTTCACCTGTTCTTTGAATCTCATCACCTAAGTAATAGATATTCCTCGTAGCAAAAAACGACAGCGTAGAAAGCAAACTGAGGAAAATAAAAGCCACCCACAACGCATGATCAGACTCAGTTGCCATTAGGACTCAGTCATTATAAATCATTTTTACAAAACACATTAAACTTGTAGGTTTGGAAGGCAGATCAGGTGTTGCTGTGAGCTAGTACTGAACGGAGCAGAGTCCAGGCCGCCTGTCCCCCACGTCCTCGGGCCTTTCTGTTTCTGCCCACGGAGCTCATTCATGCAAAAGGAGCCGTGGTTATGGACGTCACTTAATTATTTCACACTTTTTCTCCAGAAAGCACATGAAGAGGCTGTGGGCAGGAGATAAACACTTTCTCCCTTTGCGGTTCCACAATCCTTCCCCGTCTGAGAGTGTGGTAAGTCTGAGTCTGAGCCATGAGCCCAAACCTGCCTCTTTGGGGTGTGGGGAACCTCTGAGACTGGTAAGGGGGTCAGAGGGAACGAAGGTTCTCTCCTGCTCTGAGGTCACTGTTTCCTTCTAAATCTCAGGTGGCCATTGCAAGGTACTCCGGCTGGCAAATAGCTTATATTCTGTGGGGTAAGTGCCACCTGGGACCTGTGCTACCCAACACATGTTTCCTGGGAGGGAGGAGAGGTGAGTGGGAAGCAGCCCTACTTCTGCCCTCAAGGGACCATCATCCTGTCACCCTCCCCGCCTGTCCTGAACTCACAGGCCATGGATGTTAAGGTCTGCGAACACTAGAGGAGGAAGTGACTAACCCCAGCCAGGACAGGGCTCCGAGGCTCTCTAGGGGAGTCTGCATTTGAACCACACCTGGCCAGGTGGGAAGAGAAGAGTGGGAAGACAGGGGAGGCCATGCCAGGCAGCAGGAATAGCATCAGCAACCATGCCAGGGCCTCTGGTGGACTGCCGGGAAGACACGGGGGCAGATCATGACCACCCCCAAGTGAGCCTTACTCCCCTGTCCCCAGGCTACCTCATCATCCATGTGATGCAGAGCCTGTGTGGCCTGATGATCATGTATGGCCTGGTGCTTCCTGTCACCCACCACAGGGGCCTGGAGATGCTCCGAAGGCTGGGACTTGGGATGTAAGTGCTGAGTGGGTGGTCTGTCCTTCCTGAGTCCTGGGAGCCAATCCCTGGGCTCCTGATCATCTTGGGCCCTCACCTCAACTGACCAGGAACGGAAGCTTCCAGTTTGAAAAAAGCTTTCTCTCCTACCGTTACAATGAGCCTTTATAACTGTGTGTGTGTGTGTGTGTGTGTGTGAGAGAGAGAGAGAGAGAGAGAGAGAGAGAGAGAGGGAGAGAGAGAGAGAGAGAGATGATGTGCATTTTCCATCTGGGAAAACTGAATTCTCAGGAGGTGAGGGAGAAACAGGACAGCATGATGGAAGGAGGCAAGGAATAATCCTGGCTAAATTTTTAGATGTGCTTTGTGACTTGAGGCAAATGCCTCGCCTTCTCTGAGCCTCAGTTTACCCATCTGGAAAATGGTGAATGCTGGTATCCTTGAGCACTTATTATGTGTCTTTCCTCATGTCAGCTCTGTGAGTTTGGTGCTTATGCACAGTCCAGAAAACAGTCACAGAGCAACCAAGTGCTCTATCTAAAGAGAGGGAGGATACAGCATCGGGGGCCCAGGCAATCTGAAACCAAAGGCTTCTAACCATGACCTCACACTGTCACTCAAGAGTGTCAACATAGCATGTGACACTCTGGGGACCTCCCTACCAGAGCCCCATGCAAGTCTGGGGTGGAGCCCACCTTGTGCACATTCCCACAGCTTCTCAGGCTCTTCCCAAGCACCATTTCTTTCTCTCATTCTCAAACTGTCAAGCCACTCACCGGCTGCCACTCCTGGTAAGAAGGGACATCAGTGAGAGCCATGGGTTATGATCTGGAGCCAGAAGCTCTGGCTGTGGGGCCTTGGTAAAGCCACCTCCCACATTTGAGCCTCTGTTCCTCACCTGCACGGTGGGCATAGGATGGCTCCCGAGCATGAAGCATGGAGCTCACACTCTGGGTGGCCAGCCTCTCTCTCCTCCCTATCACTAGACATCTGAGAAGGGCCTAGAAGAGCAGGGAAGGCCACCTCAGGTGCCTGCCCTGTGTTTCAGCCTCACCATCTCCATCATCCTGGGCCTCATGATCCTGCAGATGTGGATTGCCGCCAGCTTCTTCCTGCAGCCCAAGCTGGGCCCAGGGGACAAGCAGAAGCCCTTGGCTCTCAATAACAGGTGAGATGAAGAGGGAATGGGGACGTGGCTGGGCTTAGGCTGTCTCCCAGTCTTTCCCCTTCACCCTTGGCAGGTTCCAGGGCCTCTCTATATTCTGAGAGGTGATTTAGTGGGCAGGGCTGAGCTCTGGAGTCAGAATGCTTGGCCCCCAATCCCGGCTCACCCCTTAGGAGCCCTGTGACCTTGTGTAAGCTTACTAAACATCTCTGAACCTCAGTTTCCCCCTTATAAATCATTTTGAGTATCTTAACAACGTGTTATAAGGTTAAAATGTGTTCAAGTATGGACTTGGAACAATAGTGCCCAGCTCCTGGTGACCCTTGCTGATTCATTCATTTATTGGGGAAACCTGGGCACTGAAGGGAAAGAGAGAATCCCGACACCACCTGCCTAGAAGCTCACAGCCCATCAGAACAGACAGGCACACAGACAGCAAGGGCAGCAGACCCCAGAGGGTACAAAAGGATCTCTAGAGAAACATGGTCAATGGAGGAGGAGAGGCAGAGATGGAGGAGGAGGAGCTGGGGTTGAAGGGTGGGGAGAGGGTGGTAATTGCACTGCGGATGGGAAGTTTGAGTAGGATGGTAGAATTTCTGCACTTATAGTAGAGGACATGGCCAGCAGCTATCACAGCATGACTGGAGACAGGAGACCCCCAAAAGCAGGGTGTGTTAGGAAACTGAGGATCTAAAACTGTCACCATACAGGGGTCTTAGATGCTGTGCGACAGGAAGGAGACACAAAATGACAAGACCAAGAGATGTCCTCTCTGAGGGGGACCTGACACTCAGAATGCAAAGTTTGGGTTTTATCCCAGAGACAACAGGAACCATGAGATCCAGTGACCCTCTAGGAGATTTCCTCTGGGGGACTGGAAACAGCTCCAGCTGGGGCAGGTCCTAGTTGCAACAGATGGGGGGGAAGCCCCATCAGCTGGGACAGCCCCTGCGCCAGCTGTAGCACCATGAGATTTCCTCACACCCTAAGGATCACATAAAACAAGTATAGTCCCCCCAACCTTTGTCTTGGGTTCCACCCTGTGCCTTCTGCACTGTCCAGGGCTGGGAGATGGGGACTCAGCTTCCCCTACAGCAGAGTGTGAGAGCAGAAGGCTAGAAGGCAGAGTCATAGGAATTGGTTTTGCAGTGCTGGAGATTGAACCCAGGGCTTCATGCATGCGAGGAGCAAGCGCTCTACCCCTAAGCTATGCCCCCAGCCCTCAGGGTCTGATGCTGGCTATGGAGGACTCCAGAGCCCGCCTGCCTAGCCATCTTGTTTCTGTGTGCAGGAAAGCCTTCCACAACTTCAACTACTTCCTGTTCTTCTACAACGTGCTGCTGGGCCTGGGCGCCTGCCTCTCCAGGTTGCTCATCAGTTGCGTCCTGGGCACGTGGCTGATTGCGCGCATCGACAGGACCATCATGCAGAGTGGCTATGAGGGAGCAGACATGGGTGAGTGACCAGCCCCTGTTGGCTACCTCCTCTGGGGAGGGCTGGACTTGCATCTTCTTGATGGCTGTTTGGAAAGACAAGACAGGTATGAGAAGCCTGGAGTGGGCACCTTCACTTATGCTCAGAGTTTATCCTCAGTGGAGACTGTAAAGCTGAGCAATAGAAACACATGCTGCCCCATAGTCAGAGGGAGTTCAAGGCTAGTCAATCCTGCCTCTTCAGCAGACATTTCTGGTATAAAGAAAAGGACGATAGTCAGAGGTAGGCAAACTTCTTTCTGAAAGTGAGAAGTTTAATTTATGAATACACAGTCCTGAAAATTTTGAGAAAGCCCACATGTCAGAAACATTATTGTTGTTCATTGGAACTTATTTGATTAAGAAAATGTTCTGTTCAGTCGGACACTCCCAAATCAAAGCCGTTCCTGAAGAAGCAAAGTTTTTGTTCTGCTTTTAGGCCAAGATCACTCAGTCCCTCTGCCCTTCAGGGCCTGTAACCAAGGCTTTCTTGGTTGTTGCTAAGGCTGCTGCTGGCCTCCTGGAGCTTCAAGTTCTCCATGAGGTGAAACAGATTAGGATATGATCTCAAAGCCTCCTTTCAGATCTTTATACCTCATTTTCTAAATTCTCAGCAAAGACTCAGGCACCCGTGGAGCTTATCATTAAAAGAGCCAACTGGGCCATGCTGGGAGGTGTGGCCTGGCCTGATCTGCCGCTGGGTTTCAGGGTTCAGCGCGTGGATCGGCATGCTCTATGTGGACCATTATCACACCAACCCCGTGCTCGTCAGCTTTTGCCACATCCTGATCACAGGCCACAGGGAGAGGAAGCTGCAGAAGGCCATCAAATACTGGTGCCTGGACCAATCAGCGGGTAATGTCTCCTGCTTGGACCTCACTGGGTTTGAAGAGCAGGAAATGAACCCCCTGAGGCTCCCTGAGGTCCCTGAGATGCTCCAGGTTTTCTCTTTCCTGCCTCTTTTTCTCTGCACTCTGTGTCCTGGGTGTCCTTCAACCAGGGAGCTTGGGAGGCTTAGCCGACTATGGGACCCACTCAAGCTTTATGTCCTTGTCCTGCTGACTGGCCTCCACCGTTGTTCCTGGAAATGAGCTCTAGTTCTGCTAGTGGAGTCATCCAGATCCCATTTGTTTGAGATTCCAACTCATATTCCAGGCTACATGCCAGACACCTGCCAAGGTGGGCTTCAGTCAGGGTTATTCTGCTCTAGGGCGCCCCTGTATGTTCATTGCTATTCCAAACACTGTGGGGATCCAGGACCATGGGATGACTCATCTCCCTCATGTCCACACAAGTCCCAAACCAGCTCCTTAACCATACCTCTCACACTCAAGGCAACTCTTCCAAAACCCTTTGAGAACGGCAGAGGCAAACTTCCAACCAACCACCCGCCTCCCATGCTGTGGTCCATCTGCTCTGATTCTATCCTAGGTCCCCGCATCTCAGCTAGGTCCAGGACGAGGTGGCGCCTGCTGCAGACCCTGATCAACAACCCCAGACTCGTCATGCTCAGAAAATCAAAATCAGGACATGGTTCCCAGGAGTTTACCCAGATTCTGTTGACGTGCTCAGAGAGCTGACACTGGCGACCCACATCTGCTCTGAGGCCAGGTCAGGTCGTCTGCTCCTGAGAGAAGGCTCAGACTAACCAGCAGCTGTTCCCTGTGATGGGAGGGGGTGGCACAGGCACTGTCCACGCACATGGCAGACAGCATTGTGGCATGGCCACCTGGACTGAGGGTCGAAGTTTCAGGAGTATTTCACTCTTTTATGAAAAAAAAAAGATAAAAAACTAAAGAGAAGTTTGTTGAGCAAACTTTATCCACGGATACTTCTACTATCCACCATTGGTAGGCGACCTTGGGAAGTTACTGTTAAGAAGCCCAAAGCTTGAGTCCAAGGCAGAACTTTGTCACTGAAGAAGGTGGTAAAAGGTTTATATCAGAAAACTCTGATTTCTTAGAACAGAGTGTGGTCCTCAATTCCGTGGGGTCCTCATTGCTTTCTTCTTTCCAGTCTTTAGGGTGGTGGGAGAGAAGGAAACCCGAGCACCTGGCCCCTAATCTGGGAAGATGAGCAGGCACAGAGCACTCGTCCCATGGCAGCTGGGGTGAGGAGTGGATCAGAGCTGACCTGGGCCTTGCTTGCAGGGAAGATGCTCAGACTCTCTCTGACCAGGGTGGGATCACCTGGGTAAACCACCTGTCTGAGGAAGCAGAGACAGGGATGTAGGCAGGCATTTCAGGCAGGGGACACTAAGACCAAAATGGTGTAAGCAGACATGTCCCCGCATGTGTGATGAGGGTGAACTTTGATGCATATGAGGGTGCGGGGTGCCATGGGTTGGTTAGGACCACTCCAAGCACCTACAGATGTCGGGTCAGTAGGCTTGGACATTGGTTTTTGTGCAGAGTCCAGAACTTGCCCAAATTTTTAATGCTCAAGCGTAAAGTATCTGATGACCCAAGATCTGTGTTAAGTTTGATCAACCATTCAAAGTCCCTCATGAGCCTGGGAAAGTGCCCTGAGGACCCCACCAACATCATAGAGGAAAATCCCCATCCACCACATGAGTCCCAGACCATTATTAAGTACGTGGTGTAAACTCAGTCCTGTGGCTAGGTCTATTTGCCAGAGTTCTCTCTTTTAGCTTAATCTCCACAACCAAGCTTTGCCATTCTGCATTTAGCAACAAAAAAACAAGGACTCCCATATCACACTTTGAAGCTGTTTGACATTGGCCAAATTACTTTGCCCTTCTCCATTCACTTTTCTTATCTATAAAAAGAAACCCCATAAGATAATACCCCTAGCAGCCAAAATTATTTTAAGGATAAAGTGAGTTAATAAATATGAACACTCTGAAACTAGTTTCTATCTTATCCTAAACTCTTAAAAGCAAAAGACTTGACTTTGCTATGACTTGAATATGGGTTGTGTCTCCTAAAGGTTCATGTATTAAAGCCTTGTTCTCCAGGGTGGCACCTTTGGTGGAACCTTTAGAAGATGAGGCCTAGTGGGAGGTCCTTAGGTCATCTGGGGTGTGCCTTCAAGGGGACTGTGGGACCTGGGTCTCTTCTCTCTGTTTCTTACCAGATGCAGTGGGTGTCACCATTTGCTCCCACCTTGTTGTGCTGCTTCGTTGGAGGCCTAAGGCAATGGGCCACTTGACTGTGGACTAGAACCTCCAAAAACACGAGCCAAAAGAAACCTCTGTTCTTTATAAGTTAATTATTTTAGATATTTTGTTACAGTAACAGGAAGCTGACTTAAACAGATGTCATTTTCACAGAAAGATATCCAAGTGGCTAACGAGTACAAGAAAAGGTGCTTCATGTTATAACACATCAGAAGACACAAATTAAAACCATGCTGTTATACCACCACATAATGGCTACGATGAAAACTGGTGACACTATCAAGTGTTGAGGAAGATTCAGAGCTACAGGCACTTTTGTGCACTGTGGTTGTGAAAACTGTTATAACCACTTTAAGAAATTCTTTAATGGTTTCCCCTAAAGATATATAGGTACAGACTCTATGACCCAACAATTCCAATCTTAAGTATATGCCCAAGAGAAATACCTACATATGTTCACCATGCAAAAGGATGGTCAAAAACATTATAGTTATAGTCCCAAATTGGGGGGGGGGGGACAATGTGGTTCAATACTAAAAAGGATAAATAAACAAAATGGATTATGTTTTCAAATAATGGAATACTACACAGAAATAAACTATACTCATATTTAAAAATGTATGGAATTCTGGTTGCTTCCCGTCTGCTCCGCAGGCGCCGGGGCGCGGGGCCATGGGCTTGGGGCTCTCCGTGCGTGCGCGTGTGCGCAGCTGAGAGCCTCCGCCACCTGCAGCCGGCGCGCGCCCCGTGACACCGAGCGGGGGCAGGGGGCTGACCGCCATGACCCCCCAGAGCCTCGCGTGAGGGGCCAAGATGCAGCAGTTTGCCAGCATCTGCTGTAGCCTCCATCTGTGAGTTGCTCCATCTCTCCATGCCCCTTGACGCCCCTGACACCACCGCTGGGTGCCAGATGAAGAATATTGTCCACAACTACTCGCAGGCGGAGAGCAAGGTCCATGAGGCCACAAGCAATGATCCCTGGGCCCGTCCAGCTCTCTCCTGTCTGAGATCGCCGCCCTCCCCTATAATGTTGTGGCCTTCTCGGAGATCATGAGCATGATCTGGAAGCGGCTCAATGACCAGAGCAAGAACTGGCTGCACGTTTACAAGGCCATGACACTGATGGAGTACCTCATCAAGACCGGCTCAGAGCGTGTGTCCCAGCAGTGCATGGAGAACATGTGTGCTGTGCAAACGTGGACCGTGATGGCAAGGACCAGGGTGTGAATGTGAGTGAGAAGGCCAAGCAGCTGGTGGCCCTGCTGCGTGAGGAGGACCGGCTGCGGGAAGAGCATGCCCATGCACTGAGACCGAGGGGAAGCTTGCACAGACCACCACGGCCTCCTCAGCAGCAGTGGGCTCCGGGCCAGGCCTGCTCTGCCTGCAGAGCAGTAGGGAGGAGGAGCTGCAGCTCCAGCTGGCCCTGGCCATGAGCAAGGAGGAGGCTGACCAGCCCCCATCCTGCGCCCCGAGGATGATGTCCAGCTCCAGCTGGCCCTTAGTTTGAGCCAAGAGGAGCACGATAAGGAAGAGCGAATCCGTTGTGGGGACGACCTAAGGCTGCAGATGGCAATGGAGGAGAGCAAGAGGGAGACTGGAGGCAAGGAGGAGTCATCTCTTATGGATCTTGCTGATGTCTTCAGGGCAGACATCACCTCCACCGGCTTCAGACCCATAGGGGCGCCCAGCACCCATGGCTGCCCCCATCCCCACTGCCCCCTGCCTCAGACCCCTGGGGGGGACCTGTTGTCCCTCCAGCTGCTGATCCTTGGGGTGGTCCAGCCCCCACACCAGCCTCTGGGGATCCCTGGAGGCCTGCTGCCCCTGTGGGACCCTCTGTTGACCCTTGGGGTGGGACCCCAGCCTCTGCAGCTGGAGAGGGCCCCATGCCTGACCCATGGGGAAGCTCTGATGGTGGGGCTCCAGTCAGTGGACACCCAGCTTCTGATCCCTGGTCTCCTGCATCTGCATTCTCTGACCCCTTGGGGGGGGGGTCACCTGCCAAACCTGCCGCAGTCTGGCCGGGCACAAAATCACGAGCCACTCAAGCAGGAACAAACTTTATTTCCAAAACTCCCACTAACGCCCCCCACTCGGCCTTCTCCAGTGGCACACCACACCTACCGGAAATCCCTCCTCTGGAAATCCCTCCTACCGCACTTCCCCAACCAATGGGAAGTGTCCGGGAATCCCTGCAAGAGTTCCAAAGTAGCAGGCCGAGGCCGGACAGCAGGGGTCTAATAATATCCAATTGAATACATATCTTAACATAACCATTATCATTTCAATGGCTTGCTGGTGTCACCTTTCAACCAAAAATGTCATGCGTCATTCCTACTTGGCTATGGCTCTCGGCAAAACCCAGCACCAGTGGCACTGCAGCAGCTGGAAGCTTTGATCCAGAGCCTGATGAATTCTCAGACTTCGACTGACTCCGCACAGCCCTGCCAGCCTCTGGGAGTAGCACGGGGGAGCTGGAGCTGCTTGCAGGAGAGGTGCCTGCCAGCAGCCCTGGGCGTCTGACATGAGTGGGGTTGGTGGGTCTCTGGCTGAGACTGTGGGAAGTGCCCCACCTGCCACTGCCACAACCCCCACACCCCCCACAGGGAAGACGCCAGAATCCTTCCTGGGGCCCAGTGCAGCCCTCATTGATCTGGACTCTTTGGTGAGCCGACCCGGCCCCACTCCTCCAAGAGCCCAGGCTTCCAATCGTCTTCTTGCCAAGTGGAACCTCTCAGCCCTGTGGCCCCAGCCCCTGGAACACCACCCACCTACATCTCTCCCCTTGGTGGGGGCCCTGGTCTGCCCCCAATGATGCCCCCTGGTCCCCCAGCACCCAACACTAACCCTTTCCTCCTATAATCCAGGGCAGGAGGCAGACCTGGCCTGGCCGACTTGCCCCCCACTCCTGTTCCCTGGGAGACAGTGTTGTGAGTGCTGTGAAATGGGAGCACTCCCACCCCAGCGCCCTTCCCCCTTCTGGGGCCCACTCACACTAGGCCCTCTTTCCCCATCCCCAACCCATTTCCCCCTGAGAAACTGAACATGGGGGATGGGGAGGGGAGCCAGCCAGAGGAGGACCCCTTTCTGTGGCATTAGAAGAAGGAGGGACAGCTAGGATCCCTTCACCATTCCCCCTCCCTCCAAATTCCTGACCCCCATCAGTGTTTGAGCCTCCTCATTCCCCCCTTTGCATCCCATGGTGAACTCTTGGTGATGATTTGGGGAACTTAGGGAATAAATGGCAATTCTCACGGGTGTGGCTCCCCTACCCCCCAAAAAATGTATGGAATTCACAAACATAATGAAAGAAGTCCAACATAAAAGAGTCTAATCTGTGTGATCTCATTTAAATAAACATTTTTAAAAAGAAAAACCAACTTGAGATAAAGTGTTTGATGGCATTGGGGAGGACAGAGAAATGACCTAAGAGGGTACTTAAGGGTGGCTGCTGGAGGGTTGGTAATGTTCTGTTTCTGAGGCTACTGGTTCCTTTCAGATAATTCACTGAGTCCCATACTTTTAGGTATGTATGTTATGTTTGATAGGTGCAGGTTCCACCAGTTGGACAAAAAACTTTTTTTTCTGATTAGTCCCAAATCTACATGGCATGGTGGTTAGTTCAAGAATTTTTGAATTGCAGGGTCTAGATTCATATCTTGAATCCAACTTTTTGGTGGCTCAGAGATCTGAGCCAACTTGCTAATCTGAGCATCTGTTTCTTCATCTGTAAGATGGGTTAATGGTGGTACTCTCTCAGTTATTTGGGGAAATTGAATCTTCTCAATAAGTATTAGCTCTTGGAGTCCCTGTTGTTTGGTTCCTTCTATACACTATGCAAAAGATGGACAAGGGTAGAGGGAAAAGAAGGATGGGCTTCAACTCCACAGACATTTTAAAGAATTATTTTGTTATTTAATTTAATTGTTAATTATACAATTATATTGTTAATTATACAATTTATGGGGCACAGTGTGATATTTTGATATGTATATACAATATATAGTGATCAGATTAGGGTGATTAGCGTATCTATCACCTCAAGCATTTTTTATTACTTTATATTTGGAACATTTTTTCCTAGCTATTTTGAAATATTCAATAAGGTTTCACTATAATCACCCTACTGTACTACATAGAACACTAGAATGTATTTCTCCTCTCTAACTTAATTTTGTACCCCAACCAACCTCAAAAGACATTTTTAAAATGAAGATTGAGAGGGGAAAAAAAATCAGAGATGGAATGGAGGTGCAAGAGAGTGCAGAGCCTCAGGCCAATTTTTCATTCCCTGTCTTTGGCTTCTGGCCCATCCCTAAACATGGGAGGAGACTAAAAAGGTGATCTGTAACTGGTTAGTCTTTCTGGCTAGGACATTGTGGAGTTGGAAGGAAACAGATATGCTAACCAAAAGCCAAGCACAAGCTGGAAGGAAGTGGTGGTGTGTGCCTGTAATCCTCCTGACTCAGGAGTCTGAGGTATGAGCATCACAAATTCAAGACCAGCCCTGGCAACTTGGTGAGACTGTCTCAAAATAAAAAATAAGATGGCTAGAGATGTAGCTCAGTGGTGTAGCACCCTTTCAATCCCCAGATCTGCAAAAAGAAACAAACAAACAGCCACACACATATTTGTACATTTGATTCAAACACAAAAACAAAGGCCCAGAAATTTGGGGATAAAGTATTCTATATTCTTAGCAGTGGGATTATGGATTATTTTTGTTTGTTTGGGTTTTTCCCCCATTGAATTGTTTTCCATTTTTTGCAACAAGTATGTTGTTTAATCGGAACAAAATGCCACACATCATATATCCATGCCTACATATTTAAACCCATGACATTCTGTATAAAAAGGAATAAAGAAAACCAAAATTGCAGATGTGCCAGAAACCAGAACCTGGTTCTGTGTCTGGGCAGGGAAGACAGTGTTTCTGCTGTATAAGGCTCAAGCCAGCAGTGCCTCCTTGGATGGGAAGGAGAAGAGAGACTGCAAATGATTCCTGGACGCTTTCTATTTTATATTGTATTTTCCACACCTTCCCTCAATCACTGACAGTTTTTCTTTTTTCAGCTCAAATGAATTCAATTTTTATTATAATATTTCACCTTGCTAAAATCCCAGACCAAAGAATGAGAACAAAAGGGTTTTCTACTCACTGTTTCTTGATTTCTGGAGCTGGACTGGACAGAACAATCACTTGCCCTAGGAAGTTGGCATAGGGAATATCTATTAGCAGTCTGTGAGGGATCCCTGCCAAAGGAGGGCTTCTCTAAGAAGGAGCTGGCTATCCCATACACACCCCAGGGGAAACTTTGATCACCTTTTGGTCCCAACCACTAATATTTTCAGTTCTGGCCGGGCAAGTTTGAGCCTTGAATTCTCTGAGCCCTGGTTTTTGGTTTTGTTTTGTTTTTGTTTTTAGAAGGAGACAGATTGATCTTTCAGAATCTTTCAGATTTCTTCCCTGCAAAGATTGATTTCAACCAAAGCAAGGAAGAAACGATGGATTTTCTTGACCATTATGGCTCAAAGCCACCTCTCAGATAGTTTTCAGGACGTTTGGTGTACTGCTCAGGACAGCTCTGGGGTATTCTCTTGTACAGAAGAGAGACTGGCGTTCAAAGAAGCAATTGGTGAAGTTTCACGACTCCACTTCGGGCGCTCGGGTTGCTAAGGGCAACCCCTTTCCCAGCGAAAGGCAGCGAGCTGAGCCCGCCCCTCCGTGTTGCCTTGGAGACCCTGGGTGTCCCGCTGCAGTTGCGGCGGGACTCGCCCAGGCGAACCTCAGAGGTGCTTTCAGCAGGTGCGGACGCGGCCAGCACGGGGACAGGGCCTCTTTGCAATCTGGACTCAGAGGGACGTTCAGGGGCTGCCCGGGCCGCTTGGGGGTCTCGGAAGGGGAGCCGGAGGACCCGGCTGGGTCTTCTGGGCACAGAGTAGCCACCTATTTAGTGTGGCCACAATCAGGCCTTTAGGTCGCGGTCTCCGCGGCTCCTGGAGGCCAGGGTAGGGTCCTGGACCCAAGGACCCCTGGCTCTGGGGTTCCAGCCCCAGCAGACACCTTGGCGCGTTGACTTTTCCCAGAAAATCTCCGTAGGGTGAAGCGCAAGCTGTAACCTGGAACTTTTCTTGTCCTCAAAGTCCCTGTCGGATTGGCGCCTTGCGCGACTGGGAGCGTCTGGGCCCCTCATTGCCTCTCCTTGCCCGTCCCCTCTCTGTTTTGTTTAAAATTTAAACCCCCGAGCTGCCCTCGACCCTCGAGGTGCGATCAGGACCTGCACTTGGGGCGGGCGTGGGTTCCCAACCTCGGGTGGGAGTTGACACTAAGCGCACGTTTCCAGGACGACGGCTTCCGGGCAGGGGCGTCCCGCCAGCAGCCACCATGTCGTCAGTGGGGAAGGTGACCCAGGTTCAGAGCGGCAAAGTCTACCAACAGATCTTCCAGGCCGAGGTAGGACCTGCTCTCCCTCTTTTCACAACCCTCTTCTCTCTGTTCCTCCAAACTTCCCTCTGCTCCCCTCCAAATTTCTCTTCCTTTAAGGGCTTTCCTGCTTGGGAATCTAATGAATTAGGGCTTTGAAACAGATTTTTTAAAAAATTCTTATTGTATGCATGTATGCATGGGTTATCTATTCTTGAAAATTGGGAAAGATAAAAATAATAAAAATGTAAATTTAAATGACGCAGAAATAGTCTGAATTAACTGGAACCTTTTCTCATGCATAAAAGAATTTTATTTAGAGACTGGGTTTCATTCTGTGTGTTTTGACACCTGCTTTCTCCGCAAAAGTATCTCACAGACCAGTTCCCAAATCCAAGGCATTCCTGAACCTCAGTGGTTCTTAGAAGTTGCCTCACTACTCAGAAATCTCTCATATAGCGACAAAGTCAAGGCCTCTGGATGATGGCACCAGCTGACCAAATTGTGTGTCCTCTCCAATGCAATGCACAGACCAAACAAGACCTGAGGAGAAGCCCATAGACTTCCAACCCTTCCTTCAAAATTATTTAAATGGGATTTTCATTCCTAATTTGAGCCCTAAATGATGCTCTCTGTAGAACCTTTGTAAGTTTCAGGTGTACAAAAAACAAAAACAAAAAAACCACTGCTCCCTGTAAGCGATATGCCATTCTTAACGTGTGACATCCTCCCTCCCACCTTGCCATTCATTTTTTAAAAAACATTTTTTTGGTTTTCAATGGACCTTTATTTTATTTATTTATATGAAGAGCTGAGAATCAAACCCAGTGCCTCACATGTGAGAGGCAAGCGCTCTGCCACTGAGCCACACCCCCTATTCATTTGAAATGCTATTCATTTTAAATGCTATTCACTTTAAAACTTGAAATAATGTAATTTGGTTATAATTTTAAATTTAGGCTCTTAATTAATATGTTTAACTATAATCATCTCATAAGCATTTCCTCATGTGACCAAAAATATCCTAAGTCTTATCTTTAATAAACACCCAACAGTCCATCAAAGGGACATACCATGTTTACTTAACCAGTCTCCTCTTATTGGAGAGTTTTGTTTTTCTAATTTATGATGATGATTTAAAAAAGGCTGAGATGTGCATCTTGTGCCTTATTTTAATTTCTTAAAGCGAGCCTTCCCTGAAGTGGCTGGGTGGCTATTGAGGAGGAGGAGGGCCCTCCTGTACAGGGTTTGCAGGGGCCTGGAGCCTCCAGGCCTTCCTGTGGCAGTTCCCAGGGGTCCTTCTAAGGTAGGCACGGTCACCCTGATGGTGCTGAGGGGTCTGCAGCTCTGACTACTTCCCTCATCTGTGGGCTTCCATGGATTCAGGTGCAGCTGGTCCAGTCCCTGGCAGCCTCCAGAAAGCGGTCTGCGGAGCGTT